TCAGTTATTGGTTGAGAGCTTGTGCATCATGGAATATTCTGAGCATAATGAAGAAGAAAAATAGTTACTTGAAGTAGCAAGTAACTATTTTTAGCAACTATACCCATGAGTTATTAATATGGCAAATATAATGTCACATGCTTGACAATTATTATTTCCCATATCTACTGTTCTTTGCTTTAAAAAATGAATCAGATTAAGTGGAAATGGTGCACCAGAAAGATATGTCAATTTTTGTGGTTTTTCACCTAAGATATACCATCTCTTAGAGCATGTCTCACAAAAGGTCCCTGCAAAACATTAGAATAGCTTTCTCCCCAAAGTATATAATAAGGCCTTGAAAAAAAGTTTAATTATAAGTTAATGATGTGATTTCTTAATATTTGAGTTTATAAGTGTTTCAGCTTTAGAAGTAAGCCTAGGGACAACCCAAAGAAATCACTGAGTCATTCCATAGCTCAAAGTCATTGCATTTTCTGCTTATTTGTGACCTTCCTTCTATAGTCTCTCTGTATTTGGGGTAAAAATGGGAGTTCATAACCCACTTGAATCAAATGTATGAAAGATGATATGTCATGAGCTTTTTAATGTTTTGAACAACCAATAAAAACAAACAAAAAAAGAATGTGGTACCATGGAATAATGGTAAAAGCATGAATCTTTTATCAGAAAATCTCTGGTCCTATGGTCACCTCACTGTGACTGTGTGAACTGGATACATTACTTAATCATTGTGAGCCTCAATTCTTCATTTGATAAACTGGTATGTAATTAACGAACTCATGGGGCCATGGTGAGAAATAAATTAATGAGTATACAATTCCAGTTATCAGAAGGATCTTGGTTGATATTAGTTCACAGCCTGTCCTCTGGTTACTGTGTAAAGGGACATTATTCTCCATTTTTTTGATACTCCTTTCAAGTCATGGCAACCCACTTATTTTTTTGAAGTGGGAGTAAATATAAGGATGCTGTAGACAGGGTGAGGATAAAGGCATAGGCGTATTTATGAAAGTAAATTAAGTGGATTATTGATTTTTTTTGGCTCTTCCCCTAAACTAATATCCCATATCATATTAACCATAGTAAGTTCCTAACATAAATTGGCCACATTGGGCCTTGGTGCCTTTGATCACCTTCTGTAATTTAGACACTCTCCATGATTTCTAACTGTTAAGCACCAAATGCCTGTCTCAATTTGTTCACCTCTCCTTCTTGAGTTCAGAAAATGTAAAAGAAAAAAAAATGTGTGAATTTAAATCAATACCTCCTTCTCCTTCCAATAAATGGGTACATAGGTGTGTTTTTTAGGATGAAATAACTGTTATAAGTTGAGATATAAGTGAAAAGCAGAGGATTGTTCTGGGCAGCAGACCTCCTGGCCAATGGTATCTCATCAGCATCATCTCTGGAAACAAGATGTTGGAGAGGCATGTAATCTAAGTCCATGTAAACTGCTGCTTCAGAGAAGGAGCACTGCTCTCTTCTGTGAAGGCCAGCATATTTATCATATTACTGTTTCAGAAAAGGGACACCTCACACTTCCTTAAGTGTGTCAAAATATTTATTTTATTGCTGCTAGAATACTTTTTATATTGGAGAAAATAAGAATGAAAGAATCCCATGTCAGTGTCTCTTAGTGCACAAAACTCCTAGCTGTGGACTTACATTGTGCCAGTTTTTCACCTTTATCCAGTTTTCACTTAGTTCAATATTCTATTCAATTAATTCAAAGTGTGTGTTGTGTGTCTGCTTTGTGTAAAGCACCCTACTCGGTGTTAGAAGCTGCTCTAGTCAGTCTTTTCACTGCTGTGACTAAAAGACCTGACCAGAACAATTATAGAGGAGAAAAAGTTGTATTTGAGGGCTCATGGTTTCAGAGGTCTTAGTCCATGGAGAGCCGTCTCCATTCCTCAGGGGCTGGAGGTGAGGCTGAACATCTCCGTGGGAGAGGGTGACAGAGGGAAGCAGCTCACATCATGTAATCAGAAAGCAGGGAGAGAGGTCTCTACTTGCCAGACTCAAATATAGACCCCACTTCCTCCAGCCACACCCACCACTTCAGTAACACTGATTGTGTTAAGACTCTTACAACTCAATCATTTCTCCTCTGAATCCTTGGATTGTCATACATGTGAGTTTTGGGGGACACCTCACATCCAAACCATAACAGGAGCAAAACAAAAACCTTACAACATGAGTCAGGGTGAAGAGCCAGCATTTGCTGAAGGGATGGGACTGGGACTAGAGGCCAAAGTGACAGCTTCCAACTTACAATTATCTGGCTTATAATATTTTGGCTTTGCAATGATGCAAAAGCAATATTCATTGAGTAGAAATTATATTTTGAATTTTGAACTTTTTTTCTTTTTCCAGGATAATGGTCTGATATTCTCTTCTGCTGCCTGGTAGTGGCAGCCACTGTAGCTTCCAGCCAGCCATGTGATCACAAGGGTAGACCACTGGGACTGAACCCTATAGTGCACCATGTTCAAAAATTTTCAACATTTTCTTATAAAATAGGCTTTGCGTTTGATGGTAGCGCCAACTTTTAAGCTAACCTAAGTGTTTGAAGATCATTTAAGGTAGGATATACTAAATCATGATGTTAGGTAAATTAGGTATATAGATGCTTTTTTTATTTTTATTTTTACTTTTTTTGTGGTGCTGGGTATTGAACCTAGGGCCTCCTATACGTGAGGCACACACTCTACCAATTGAGCTATATGTCCAGCCCCCATAGATGTATTTTTTACTTAGGATATTTTCTACTTGCATAGGTGTTATCTGGACATAACCTCATAATAAATTAAGGAGTGTTTATATATAAATTCAATATGATCAAATGTTCAATGCTAGGGAATTGTAGAATCTTGGAAGTTCAAGATTTGAGTCTTAAATTCTATTCTTTAAAACTCACACTCACAGTAATGATCAAATTCTCTGTACAATGTTTTTTATTTTTTATTTTTATTTTTTGATACCAGGGATTGAACCCAGGGATGCTTAACCACTGAGCCACAACTCCAACCCTTTTAAATATTTTATTTAGAGACAGGATCTCAGAGTTGCTAAAGTTGCCTCACTAATCTGCTGAGACTGGCTTTGAACTCACAATTCTCCTGCCTCAGCCTCCTCAGTTGCTAGGATTACAAGTGTGAGCTACCATGCTCAACTGTACAATGTTCTTCCCAAAAAGCCTCTGTGTCCAAATCTCCTCTAACAAAGATCTTCTATAGGTGCCCATTCCATTCACAAAGAGTTCTAAAATTTTGCTCAAATATTTCTTGTGTGCCTCCCCTGCCCTTCTCTCTCATAAATTCTGAAATTTGAGGAGATTTAGGAAATATCTAGGGGAAGCTTTTCATTTAAAGAGTAGTTCAAATATTTCAGTAAAGTTATATTATCTACCCTAAGATTTCTAGCTCCTTCAAAGTAACTCTTATTTCACAACTTGGTTTTGAGTGCCCTCCTCTCCTGACTTTCACCAATGAACATATTCCCATTTGACTATATATGTATATTTTAAAGTGTATCATTCAAATTTGAACACAAATTTCCAAATGGACTAATTGGTACAGAGTTCCTATTACCCCTTTCCATCCTGAGACCTTCATTTCAAATAATCAAATACTTATATTCACTTCATACTTTAACCCAAGTCTTTATTCACAATACTGCTGTTAAACTCCACAAAGACAACTGCCACATCAAAGTGGCAGAAATATAACACACCTGTATTCAGACTCTAAATGTTTCTTGGTTACATTTCATAGTCCTTGTTGTAAGTTAAAATGCTCATATTAAAATCAATTAGCATTCTGTTTTCTCATATATTTACTACTATGCACCCTTACCTCTGATGCCAATCTTTAAAAACTCCAATAAATATGGCATCAAATATATAACAAATAATAAGCAGGTACATTTGAGACCATCTTCTCATTACTTGCTGTATACTCTTTCCAATCCATCACTCAATGGAAATAAACACTATTTAGTTGTTTTGAAAAAACAACTTGGAAAGAACTTGGAACTTGCATTGGCTTTAGCAGCCTGGAAGACCTAAAACTTCTGTAGATTATTGATAAGAGAATTTAACATTTTTGTAGTTGCAGTCTATCCATAGCACCAACTGTATAAAGTTATGTGTGAAATTATATGTACGGAATTGTGTGTGAATGTATTGAGATTTATTTTTCATATCTTCACTGGATATGCTGTCTTCAAACCTTTGGCCAAAAAAGTAAAACTAACCCAATTTGATCCAACCTTCAATGCCCAATTTAACTTATATTTTCTAAGAAAGGATTTTCCCAAATAATATAACTCTCTCTTTCTTATAAATGTATAACATAATATTTGAAGCTCTCATTTTGGCATTTTATCAAACTTCATATTAACAATGTGCCTAACTTTTTTGTTTTGGTGGTACTAGAGATTGAACCCAAGACCTGGTACATGCTAAACATACACTCTACCACTGAGCTATGTTCCCCCCACCACCATAGTTCTTTTATTATGTTTTTTACTTCTTTAGATAGATTGTAAACTTCTAGAGAAAAATGACTATATGCCACAATTTTTTCTGGGTTCCTTGAACTGTAACCACTCAACAGTAGGGTGAATGCTGACAGAATAAATGAGACTAGCCAACATCGTTGTCTTTGACTATACCAAGGGGTTTGGAGTGCTTATTTAAATGTGTATGCATGTATTTAAAATTGCTAATTTTGAGGTGTGATCTCTAAATAGCAACTTAAATGCAAAAATAAAAAACTTACTAAAATAATTCAACATTATTAACAATTATAAACCTTCAGCCTTATATATGTAACTCTATACACCATTAAGTTAACTCTAATATCACTGTATTCATTTGGACTTTGGGTATAGGTTCAGATTCTCTGTTTTTTGTTTCCCTTACCTTGGAATGAGGTAGAAAGTTACTAAGGACAAAAGTTAGTCTTTGATATATAGGAATTTCTCAGATTATACAGACAAATATTCTTTCAAAGTTTGCCAGAAGTATTTGATTAACTGCTGTGATCATGAGGCTTAAACAAAAGAGACTTCTGCTCTCTTCACCACTGAAAAAAATTAACCTAAAATCTAACTATATTTTTAAAGATAGGGTCGCTGATTTATTGGTTTGTTTATTTTCAGTCTATCTATGCAAAGGCCATTTTAGAAAGACCCAACTAGAGGTCAGTTCCCCTCCCTTTCTTCTTAAATTACACCTGCAGTTCTTTAGCACAGAGATCAGCAAGAGAAAAGCTTGAAACCACTGAGAATTATTTCCCTTGTATTTAAATGATAAAATGACGCCTTCCTAACTACAGTCAGACTTTTTCCCATACAAGATATGTCAAAAGAGTAGAATTTCCTAAATAGAAAGTTAATAAAATTGATTCTATCCCTGGTTTAGCATGAATTAGTATGTGACCTTGGGCAAGTCACTTTGCCTTGCTAGTTTTCCTTTAATGTTTTTGACTTTATTTACTTATTTATTTAATGTGATGCTGATGATCAAACCCACTGCCTTACACGTACTAGTGTAAGGCACAACCCTAGCCCTCCTTTAATTCTTTAATAGAGAAATTGGATCATATTGCCTTTGAGGTCTGATATAGTTCTAAAACTCTGTGAAGCTGATTCATGGGTGAAATTGCTCTTTGAAGAAGCTGAGAGACTCTAATAACAAAATGTTCATTATGCATGAAAAATCAGTTATTACTTTCCCATTTTGAAGACATAAAACCTGCCCCCCCACCTTTGTTTCTCATACATCCCTTTTGGAAAATGGTAAAAAGTCTGAGAACCTTCAAGAAGAAACAGCTTATGGTGTTCTGCCATAATGATAAATAAATAAATACTGGTGTAAGAAACTACATAGAAGATGTCTAAACAGAATTTCTCTAGAGTTACCAGCTATGGCAATTCATGTATTCTCATGAAAAGATGAAGATTTAATCTTTGATTTGGCTATAAAAATTAGAAATGTTTGGTACAAAACTGTTGGACTTTAAGATTTCTCCAGAGGTACTTCTAAATACAACTGCAAAATGAAGTTTTGTGTTGAAAAAGTGTGCACACACCTAGGACAAGTGCCTGAATTTGACTGCCAGGATAATTTCTGCACCTGTGAACGGCACAGTGCATCAGAACTGTCAAACAGAATGCCTCCTTGTGTCTCCTGGGAGAGTGCTGCTAGTAAAAGTTTCCTGTAAGGAAAACACTGTATGGATGGCGATGCAACTCAGGTGGAGATTTCTTGTTTTGTTTTGTTTAGGTCTTCTTACTGCTGATCTTGTCTCCATATTTGTCATAGATACCTGTATTTCCTGAGTTTGGTCAGCTGTAAAAGAGCAAGAAGTAAAAAAAAAAAAAAAAAAAAAAAAAAAAATCATCAGAATCATTTCAACTGCTGGGAAAACCAGAGCAATGCTGGCTGTTAAAAGCTGTTAATTGCAGTTTACAAAAGAGAAATCCCTTATCTTTGAAAGTTCACTTGCTTGAATGACTCATTCTTCCTGGGAGGGATTAATGCTTAATTAGAAAAAGATGCTAAACAATCCAATGTGCTTCCTGAATGAAAACCTCACCTTAGTTTTAAAAAAATCTTAACAAGGTAACATGCTAATTATTTAATGAATGATTTGTGCTGAGAACTAGAGATATGTGTTAAAATAGCAGCTTATCGCGTTTGGCACGGCTCCCAGAAATCAGTCCACTGACTGCTCTAGGATTTAGTGCCAAGCCTGTTTTTTGTTGTGCTTTGGGCTTGGTTTTGTTTTCCCTCCTTTGCGTGTAAACATGTTTGTCAAGGTGTGTGCTGTACCTTGGGAGAGGAAGCATAGAGGGGAGGGTAAGGCTGGTGGTGGTCCAGGAGGTGAGGGTGGGGAGGAACGGGAAAGAGAAGAGGAAGAAAAGGCAGCCAGAACTCCATCTTAACTTTTGTAGTATAAATGCATTTTAGTGACTAATACCTGGAAATAGCTCTACTCCAACGTTCCTGCAGGATGTAAGGAAGTTAGGGTGGCATGTACATGTCAGTGAAAGGTACAAGGCTTTGCAAGCCCAACTTCACACTTTGCTTGGCTGTCAAAGGGCTTTCTCCTTCACAACAATACCCCAATGTTTTGGTAGGCCGACTCCAGTTCACTTAGTAAGTGGGGAAGCATGGGTGGAATGCCAGGTATGTCTACAGAGCAAAGCAGTGCAGGCAGGCTGACGCCAGGAGAGAATAGGCAGGTACCTATTGAGTTACAGGATTTCTACAAATCTAATCCGCATGTAATGTGAGACTTATTACAGAGCCAGCCTCTGCTGGGGCTGTGAAGTCTGAGAATATGAACAGTCTCAGAAGCAATGATCCCAGTTAACCCGTTGAAACCCAGCTTCAGTTGATCAAAACTGATAGCCTCTTCTTGTCATGCTGTTTTACCAGGATAGTGATTAGAAGTCATTTGCTAACTGTATAAAAATACTCAGACTAAGATATATATATACTAGAATTATAATATGCCTCCAATACGGTGAACACTCAATTCAGCCACAGCAACAAGGGCTATTTTAAGGACCTCTCTATATAATATGTCTGACACTGGATAGTCTATACATTACTAATGATGAGTATCTATAATTTATAGTACATTTTGGCATGTGATAAGTTTGTTATGAAAATTTAAAATAGCATAGTTATTTATTAGTATTGAAAAAGAGCCCACTTAAGGGGAATAGTTCTTGACATTTTCATTAATTCTAATAATAATGAACTGATTATAATTCATTAAAGAAAGGAAATCAGACCAGTCAACAAAAATAGAAACAGAAGCCTAGGAATTAGAGTCTCAAATTTTATGAGACTCTATATCATATACTTTTCTTGATGACCAACTATCAAAATTCTTTGGAAAATGGGTAAAGAAAAATCAAAATGTTGTTTCTATAATTAACACACAATCTTAAGAATTCTTTAAATCAAGTTGGATAGATTTTAAATGATCAGTCATCAAGACTTTCCATAATTATACAGTGATCAGAAAATTATTCATTTTGGTGATATAATTGTGATAAAACCCTGACCATAACACAAAAGCCCACATTACAAAATATTCTTAAGACTGAGACACTAACAACATTTGTCTCCAATTTTCTACTATGCAAGGCTTCAAATTACATTGGTGTTTCTTACCTGTAGATAGCTCTTCACAGGTATTTTTGTTCATTACTATGTTTAGATACCTTGAGTAAATCAGCAACTTCTACTTCTAGAGTTTCATTTATTAACAATATATTAAAAAAATCAATGATTTAAAATTCTGTATGTGGATACCAGAATGAATATTTATCATCTCCTGTGGTCTATGCATGTGGATAGGTACTTTAGGCATGTTGGCTTAGTTATTTATACATTCTTATGGTTTCTAGATTTTATGTGAAGAAACTGAGGCACACATCAAGTAACTACTGAATAGGAGTTATAGAGTTTAACCCAGGTCTCAGTGACTTGAAGCCCATTGAGAGTGGAAGTAAATGAGGGAGACAATACAGTGCTATCCAAAAAGGGAAGAAAAGCTAAGAGATGAAAAGAATGTTAGACTTGCAGTCTCTGTGGTGAAAAATGGTTTTGCTAGTTCCCAGTTTCTGAATAGACAAATTGCTGAGTTTCTACATGCCTCTGTGTCCTTGTCACTAAATAGGGATGTAAAACTGACATATCAATGCTTGTGTGAGGAATAAGTCCAACAATGCTAGTAAACAGTTATGTAGACATGGTGCAGGGAACAACGGTAACATGAGCTTAGCTCTGTCACATAATGTGCATGTCCCTGTGTGTGCATGAACTGGGTACTGCTCTGACACACATGCTACTTTGTGAGGTGATACTCTGTTTTAAACATGGGTGGGTTAGGAAGGAGAAAAAACAGAATATCCTCCTGTTCCCTGTGGAACTGCATAGCTCATGCAGAATGTACAGGAGGTGATTGCCTCTGAGCAATATTGCAAGTTAGCTTTTAAGTTAATTTGTGACATTAAAGCCAATCCAGTCCTAAATTTGTACACTCCCCTACTCTGCTTGTTTCTTTCAAACCATTGCCAATTTTATTCCTGTTTAACCTTTGCGGTAGATAAGAAGATGCTATTAAATCTTGGACTACTGAGTAGGCCTTTTGAAAACAGCAGTCAGTATCTATCAAAAGAATGTGGAGAGATATTCTAAGCAGCTTTTTAAAAACCAAGAACATTGATTAGAACTAATAAATTAACCAAAATAGCTTGTTTTAATGGTGCTCCTAATCCCAAAGTTATTAATATCTTTAATGTTTTATAAAGATATTCCCCACCTACTGAGTGATTTTATTGGGTGGTAGTATTCTTTGTTAATTGCTGCCTTGACTTTGGTTTTAATATGTGGTGAAACATTTTTCATTCTCTTTAGGCCAGACACATATTTGGAATGCCAAATATATTTCTATAAATAAATAAATATCCATATTTCATAGATACCATATTTAAAATTCCCAAAGAAAATAATTTTAGAAGAATTTCTTTACTAATTGTGTTTATTACTAATGAAGCAGAATTAATGCTGGTAAATTAATTTTTTAAATTAGTGTTATAAAGATTTAAAAGGGAAGACTGGGTTGGAGGTGTAGATTAGTGGTAAGAGTTTGTACAGTGTCACTGGTTAAATCCCCAGCATCAAAAATAAAGATAAATACATCTTAACAATAAATGGAATCTAAATCTAAATTGTTTAAAATTCAATTTCTTGATAAGTGTTCTGTTTACACTTCGGAAAATGTGTATTCTATTGTTATTGGGTAGAGTGTTCCATAAATATTAATTAGGTCAAGACAGTTGGTAGTGTCATTCAAAATTATCGTATACTTTTTCACTTCCTAGCTACTTGTTCTAACAAGCATTGAAAAAGAGATACCGAAATTTATTCCTGTAATTGCGGTTTATCTCTTTTTGAAGTCATATCTGCTTTTGCTACATATATTTTAATGCTTTTTTAGATGCATAATTGTTTAGAATTGGAATGAATTGATACCCCTTTCATTACGAAATCACTATTTTATTTCTAGAAATGTTCTTTGACTTAAAGTTTAATTTGTCCTATATAAATACAGCTACCATTACTTTCTTTTTATTTGTGGGGGCATGAGTATAAAATTTTCCTATTCTTTCATTTATAACCTATGTGTGTCTTTATATTTAAAGTACATTTCATGTGGGCAGCATGTGGTTGAGTCTTGTGTTTGATCCAATCTGACATTTTTATCTGTGTAAATCATTTATAGATAATGTGTTATTACTACATTTAGGTTTATATATGCTGTGATTATATTAATTTTACTATGTCCCCTTTTGACTTTTTCTGACTTCTTTTGAATTATATTTATGATGCTGATTTACCTCAGTTGTTGGTTTATTAATTGTAACTCTTTTTTACTTAATTTTTTAAGGCTATGCTGTATACGTATTTAACTTATCAGTCTATCTTTAAGTGATATTTTGCTCCTTCATACACAATATACTCTCATCTCTCCTATCTAAGCCTTTATGTTCTGTCATACATTGTGTTTTTACCTATATTAAAACCATTCCCTATATTAAAAGTCTATTAAAATATTTTGTTACTTTAAAACACTTAATTGAATACATATATGACTTAAATAATTCAAAATTAACTATGTTTTACTACTCTAGTTATTTCCAGTATTCATTCATTTGTATTAATCCAGAAAGGATTTCATCTAGTATAATTTATCCACTTTTTCCATAGGATCAATTTTTTTTTCCTGTTTTTTAGTATTTCTTGAATCTTTTTTGTTCAGGTTCCTAGTGATTGCTTCTTTCAGCTAGCATGAGAATTTATTTTGCTTTAGTATTTGAAAGATATTTTTGCTGGGTATAGAATTCTAGGTTGACAAATACCCTTTCAGTACTTTAAAGAGTTTGTTCCACTATCTTCTCATTTGTAATGTTTCTAATGCAAAATATGCTTTTGTCTTAATGTTTGTTCCTTTACTATATAATATGCTTCATTTCACCCCATAGCTGCTTTTAAGATATCTTCTTTTTCACTGTTTCTGATTATGAAGTACCTTAATGTAGCTCTTATTGTTTCTCATGCTTTATTGAGTATTCTAGATTTAAGAGCTTATTGTTTTCATTAGATTTGGAATAGTTTGGGCCATTATTTCTTAACATTATGTTTTCTTACTTTCTCTGCTCTTGAGGCACTCCAAGAATAAATGTGAGTCACTGGAATGTATCCTCCAGAACACTGAATTTCTATTTATTTTAAAAACGTATTCTCCTTTTCTCTGTATTTGATTTTGG